AGTGTTACCCTGGTGTCTCATTTCCTTCCTTTTACTTTTAAAGTTTGCCCAATCTCTGTCCAGTCTCTTTTCCCTCCCTCTGTGCTTCATTTTGGATAGTTCCTTTTGCTATGTGTTGACATACACTGATCTTTTCTTTTCTACTATCTTATCTGCCATTAATTCCATCCAGTTCACATATTGCGTACAATCATGCATTGCTTAGCGATAGGGACATGTTCTGAGAAATGCATTTTAGGTGATTTTGTCACTGTGTGGACGTGATTGAATGTATTCTCACAAACCTAGATAGTAAGCCCGCTGCATCCCCAGGCTGTGTGTGCCAATCTTCCGGGGCCCCCGTTGTACATATGCGGTTCCTCGTTGTCCGAAACATCTATGTGGTGTGTGACGGTATTTCATCTCTAGACGTTCCGTTTGGGCCTCACTTTTACATTTTTAATTTCTCTTCTCATTATATTGTGTTTTCTTTTATTTCTTTGAACACCCTTATAAAATTTATAATAGCTTGTTAAAGGTTCTTGTTTACGAATTTCATCATCTGTTGTTTCTAAGTGTATTTGCATTGATTGACTTATCTGGTTATGGGCTATATTTTCCTGTTTCTTTGCATGCCTGTTAATTATTTCCTGGATGCTGGCTATTGTGAATGACATGGTTTTGGGTGCTGGATTTTTTTGGTATTCCTTTAAAAAATGTTGGGTACTTTCTGCCTTGCAGTTATGTTACTTGAAGTTCAAGTAACTTAATCCTTTTTGAGACTTTGCCTCAGCCTCTCTGAACTTTGATCTCTTTCTGCTCAGCTCAGTGGGGTCACGGACTCTGTTTGGCTCCCCTCCCTGAGCTTAGCCTGGAAACTCCTTGAGGCCTTCCTCTGGGGCCATGATAGGCCTCCCCTTGTTTGTCTTCCCTCACTCAGGGATCACAGTCTGTTGTGCAGCATCTGAAAATTGTCATTTCATGTGTTTTGTCCTATTTTCTGGTGTGATTAAGTCCTGCCACAGTAAATCACTCATGGGCAGAAGCAAAAGCCAGTGGTAGGTTATTTTAATTTTTGTTTTTTTGTTAGGTGACACTGGACTTTTTAAAATATATTAGTGGCAAGTAAGTTTCCTTCTTCTGTGAGTTGCTTGTTGCCTGTGTATAATTCTAATGGTCTATTTTTTTCTTTTAATTTGCCTCCCTAGCATTGGAACTTCCTTCTTAGGTTTGCAGAGTTCCCTGTCTTTTGTGTCCTTGCACGAGGCAACAGTCCGTGATGCTCAGTGTCAAGTGCTGTGGAGGACATGGCGCCGGGTCCACATTCAATGTCAGGAGTGTTAGGTCTGCACCCTGCAGCATCCAGGGCCGGGCCTCACTGTGTAGGTTTTCTCACAGTAAAGGGGTTGCCCAGAGGATATGTGGTCAATTTTCTTTGTTCTCAAATCAGCAATAGTTGGTGGCTGTTATTTTCAACTAAGCATATCAGCTGGTTTAAGATGGTTTACTCATTTGTTTCTGTTGACTTGTCTTCTTATTGAATTTTAAGCATTCTTTATATATCCTGGATAGATTTTGTTGTCTGTTATGTCACTTTTCTCTGGTGAATGCTTATTTTTTTTAACTTTGTTGATAGTATCTTTTTAAAGATTTTATTTTTTTCCTTTTTCTCCCCAAAGCCCTCCAGTACATAGCTGTATATTCTTTGTTGTGGGTCCTTCTAGTTGTGGCATGTGGGATGCTGCCTCAGCGTGGCTTGATGAGCAGTGCCATGTTGGTGCCCAGGATTTGAACTAACGAAACACTGGGCCGCCTGCAGCGGAGCGCGCAAACTTAACCACTGGGCCACGGGGCCAGCCCCAGATAGTATCTTTTAATTGAATACTCAGATTTATCAATGTTTTCTTCTAGAAGTTGTACTTTTGTAATTGAAAAATCCGTTTCTTCCCTGAGATAATAATAATAGCCTCTTTTATTTTGCTTTGCATATTTTGACCTTTTACCTTACCATGCTGCAAGGTAGGGATATAATCCTTTTTTCTTCTGGTAGGAAAAGCAATTGTCCCAACCCCATGTGTCTTAGAACTTTCTTCATTGTTCTGCAGTGCCACCGCTGTCAAATGGCAAATGCTCTTACGTGCTTGAGTCTGTTTTATTGATCTATTTTCCTATCCCTACACCAATTCACACTCTTTGGATTACTTTGACTTATAGTAAGTATTGATATCGGTAGGGCAGATGCCCCAATCAGTTCACCTTTTCTAGAGTTGTCTTGGCTGTTCTTAGACTTGTACTGTCTAGTTTGTCTACACACTTACATACATACACACACATCCACCCACACATCCTGCTCCAGTTTTGATTGGATTTGCATTGAATCTGTGGATTAATTTAGAGGATACTTGCCGTTATTGGGTTATTGAATTTTCTCCCCTATGAGTGTGGGATCTTTATTTTTGTAAGCTTCAGTAAAATTTTGCAATTTTCCACTATATATTTTTGGTTCAATTTATTTCTAGTTACCTTATATTTTTGTTTCTATTGTGAATGACATGTTTTTGTTGTTGTTGCAATGTCTGGTTAGTTATTGTTGGTATATGGAATGTTTCTAATTTATTGATGTTGTATTAGCTCTCTTGTCAAACTTTCTTATTATTTCTAATAGTTTGACCATAGAGTCTCTTTGATTTTCTATGTAGACAGTTACAATATTTGCAAACAACAGTTTTCTTGCATTGTTTCCAGTCCTTAGAGGTTCTTTTTTCTTTTTTCTTTCTTTTCATTGCTTGGGCCCTGTATCTCATGTAATGGTCAGTAAGGGTAGGGATAGCAGGCATTCTTTTTTTTTAATTTTCTGAGGAAGATTAGCCCTGAGCTAACATCTGCCAATCCTCCACTTTTTGCTGAGGAAGACTGGCCCTGAGCTAACATCCGTGCCCATCTTCCTCTGGTTTATATGTGGGACGCCTACCACAGCATGGCCTGCCAAGCGGTGCCATGTCCGCACCCGGGATCCGAACCAGCAAACTCAGGGCTGCAGAAGCAGAGCATGCACACTTAACCACTGTGCCACCAGGCCAGCCCCGAAGGCATTCTTAGGTTTTCCTTAAATTCCTGAGAATATGTCTTAAATGTTACCGTTAGGTATAATGTCGGCTTAATATTCTGAATAGGTAAGCTTTTCTCTAAGTTAAAGCAATTCCCTTCTGGTTCTTCCTTGAAAAACTATTGAATTTTTCAAATGATTTTTCTTTATATGTTCGAATGATAATGGGATTTCTCTCTTTTATTTTGTTGACATTTTTTAGTATGCCAATTTACATTGATAGATTTTTCTGATACTGAGCATATTGATATTTCAATTCCTGCGATAAATCTTAGTCTCTGCATTTTTTCTTTGTACCATTTAGTAATATTTTATGTAGGACTTTTGCATCTATGTTCATTTTTGAGTTTGGCTTATAATTTTTCCTACTTGTATTTTACTTGTTTTGTTTTCATGTCAAGAGTTTACTAACCTTTTTATATAAATTAGGTGACTGTACTTTTTTAAAAAGTTCTCTAAAACAATTTGCATAAGAAAGAGATTTTTGCTGATTGAAAGTTTAATAGAATCTCCTCTGGAAACCTGTTGGGGCGCAGATGCCTTTTTCCTCCTGAGGGTGAGATTTTCGATTATTGGCTTAAGTTTTTAAAGGTTATTATACTGTTCAGTCTTTCTACGTATTCTTGAGTAGATTTTGATAATTTATAATTCTCTATAAAAGTTTCCATTTCATCAGATTTGTCTAAAGGTGCTCATATTTGCTTATTATTTCTAAAAATGATAGTAGGATCTGTGGCTGTGCCCTTTTTTATTTTTAATGTTGCTAATTGAGTGGTGAAAGTGGTTTGTATATTTTTAAGTCTTTTTCAAAGAGCCAGTCTTTGATTTTGTTGATTATTCTAATGTTTTAGTTTATTTTCTATTTGCTATTTTTCTTTCTCGTATCTTCCTTTCTACTTTTTTGGTGCTGCCTCAGTTATTCTTGGCCTTTATGATTGAATACAGAATTCATCTTTGTCATTTTTTTGTGATTAATGTATTTAATACCATACATTTCCCCCTTAAACACTGCTTTAGGCACTTCACATTAGTTTTGATATGTTGTCCTTTCATTGATATTTCTTAATATGTACTTATAAAATTAATTCATATGTATAGTTCATAATTTCTACTTGATTTCGTTTTTAACACATTCAATAATGCACTTTTTAGTTTCCAAAGTGCTTGTTCACTATATTTTTTATTGTTGATTTTGTAATATGCCATGTCACAAAATTTCTAAATTATAATATTCAAGGCTGCCATGATGCAGGAAACAGTACTGATGCTCAATTCTAAAATTAGAGAAAAATATCTCCCTTGGCTTCTGCCTGAAAGCTTTTGTGCAGTGAAATTAACAGAGTAGTTAGCATCAATTCTATAATAAAGCCAGCAGTGCGTTTCCTAGGAATGATTCATGTTACATTCTTCAATAGAGCCGAAAACAACTTTCTACATTTGTTAACATTTTGCTGATTTGTTTATTATTAATGCAAGGAGTTAAAGTGAGACTGATGTAACACTATGGTTTATCCAAGAAGTAGACTCTGAAAAACAGAAGAATTGTATTCTGTAGATCCCAGTGTACAGGTTCTATATGCATTTAAATATATCTCTATATTTAAATATATAGGTAGTATATATTTAGGATTTGCCTGAAGAGTACTTTCTTGAATAACATGTAAGTAGGAACAAAGAGATTGCTTAAAAATCAACTTCCTGAGGCTAGTCCTGGAAGAAAGATCATGTGTGCTATGTTATTTTTTCCAAGCAGGGAGAACAGTGATTAATATAGGAAATAAAGATGAAGTGACTCTAAAACAGGGAAAGTGAGTGCAAATTTCCCTCCTGTAGCTTTGCTTGTCTCAGGAACGCTCAGCCCTTCCTTCTGTGTATCCCTTTGCCTTTGATGCGTTCTTTCCTTCTCTTTGTTCAGGAAAAGCTCAGAATCAGCGAGATGAGCGTGACAAGGACGACCTGAGCTTCTGGGTGTCTTCGTCTTCATCAAATCAGGAAAGGACACGGAGCCCAGTACCTCAGCAGGTAAAACTGGAAGAAGAGGGACCTCTGCTGGTTGACTAATCCCCGATTTGGCTGATACCTGGATCCCTGACCAAGCTCTCCGAGGAACAGGCGTCTGTTTTGCTCTCCTTACCATGAGGAATTCTCAGTTCTGGGTTACTCTGATGTTGAAGATGACCAAAATAGGGATTTGAAAGAGTGGAACAGTTTGTAACTCTAAAGAAAACCCCTTTTGATGCTATTTGGGAAATTTTACTTATTTTGGCACCTATTTCATTTTGTGCTACTAACAGAGATAAAAAATAAATTTCACATAAAATTTGAAGGACCTTTAGATATACTGATGGTGGAATTTTTAATGGGTAGAGACAGCATGGGGCAGTGTCTCCAAACCGTGGGAAAGGAGAGGGTTGCAAAAAATCCAGAGCAAAAACTCTCACCTTGACACATTACCCCTGGCACTGTCTCCACAAGGAGAGTAGAGCACAAAAAGGGAAATGCATTTTCATCTGGTGGGTGCCTTCCATTCTTTTCTCTTATCTAATCTACTGGAGCTTTGGGACTTCCATCATGTTCCTGTCCTCATCCTCACTTCCTGTAAGTTCCAGCATTAGTAAGATGGAATCAGTGCCCAGAACAAGCACTGCTTCCCCCACCGTCCCAGTTCACTTGCCACCCCGCCCCTGCCCCCACCCCCAGGGCTGACAGTCGCGCTGCTGCTTTGAAAAATGACGTTGTAGTTTGTTGTCTCTCATACAGGAGGCTGTCCGTTCCTCTGTGACACAGCAGTCTCTAATTCTTAGCATCCTGCTGGGCTTGCAGCCCCACTGTTGATACTCTTCTCTGAACAGAATGATTTTCTACTTGAAGGAGAGACGTTTTAGAAGTGAGCAACTTGATCGCATGTCCTGAGTAGATCCTTTATGTAACCTTACTTGAGTACCTTCTAGAACTGAGTACATTTTATGGTTTGGGGTGGGATTTTTTCCCCCCTATATTTTGTGGCTTGACCTATCTAGGGTGAGTTTTGGTGTGCTTTAAAGTTTCCTTTTAGAAAAGAGTATCTTGGAACATTTCTGGATGATTTTTAGTGTATGTTGGGAAAATCAGCTGATTTTATCAGAATTTACTTTTCTTATGTTTCCTGGCTCAATTAATTTGATGTTATGGCCACTGATGCCCTTTCATTTATGATGCTGTCCCTAGGAATTGTCTAGACTCATAGCCTTGTGAATGGTTGGATTTGGAAGACAGATCAAGAAATTTTTATTCCAGCACTCATTTGAGAGGTGAAGAAACTAAGTCCCAGAGAGCCGAGATGATTTGTCTGCAGTCATACAGCTCTTTAGTCACAGAGAAAAGTCTGGGAACCAGTCTCCTATCTCCTAGTATTACTGTTTTCACTTTGTCCTCAAAAATCCTTGGCATATGCAGGGCAGAAAAGCTAACTGAGGCTTCTCGGAAAAATTTATCCAGCCTTTTCTTTAATTTGACATTAATTTGATTCAGTGAACAATCTCCAAAAAGACCTGGCATCTTGATAATTTAGTATATTTCTCCTGTGCCTTCTTGACATTGTTAGCCGAAACACATTTCATTTAATCACAGACATATTCGAGTCCCAAGGGAGCCTTTCACTTGAATTGCAGCCGTCTAGAATGGTTTGCTTCTTTGAGAAATGTAATCAAGTGGATTTTGAAGCGTGACTTAAAATATACCTCGGGTTTAATTACGCTCAGACTTCTCACTCAGCTGAGGGTACTTTTTCTTGGTAAATGAGTTATGTGCAAATGGCGCTGTAGACCCATCTCATTGGAGATGGGAGGGGTTGTGGGTTTGATAGCACTACCCAAATTCTTTTCCTCCATCCCATCTCAGTCACAATCTCCACATTCCTATTTTAATTCTGCTGAAATTAACTTTTAGGATTTGTTTTACCAATAAGTGTTGATAAACTAATATTCAGGACTAGATCAACTCTGTAGAACACATTTCATTTAATTTATTGGTTATCCATGTAGTTTAATGAGAAGGAATCTTTGGGGGACATTTCCCCTTGATATTTTAAAGTTAAATAATTAAAATACGCAGAGCAGCATTAACAAACGAGAGCTAGTGTAACTATAGTTATATCAGACAAAAGAGACTTAAAAGCAAAAAGCATGGACCAGTAAGAGGTCACCAAATAATACTGAAAGGTTTAATTCACAAGAAAGATATAAAATTCTAAGTTTATAAGTACCTAATAACAGCTTCTGAATATATAAAGCAGTATTTGACAGAATTGATAAATTCACTATGATAGTGAGCCATTTTAAAATATCTCTTTGATTAATAGATTAATAGATTAGATGGTTGAGTATAGAAATTACCAAAAAAAAACCCCACTATTAGCAAGCTAGATATAACAAACATATATAGAACTTGTATCCCAAAATTAGAGAACACACATTTTTTTTTCAAGCATACATGGACCATTTATAAAAATTTACTGTGTACCAAATCAAAATATACCTCAACCAATGTCAAATAATCTTTCTAGTACTGCCTGTGGTCTCTGACAAAGAAATTCAGTTAGAAGTCACAAAAAGATGAAACATACATTTGGAATTTAAAGACAAAAGGTGAAACATACAAAAAGATGAAACATACATTTGAAATTTAAAGGCACATACTTCTAAACTCATGGATCAAAGAAGAAACGATAAGGGACAGTCAAAGGATTTAGAATAGATTAAATACTAAGTTACTATGTATAAAAACCTGTGGTTTGTTCATTATGCAGTGGTTAGCAAATATAATGGTATAATCTATACTGTCACATTTACAAGGATACTGATATATAAGCACACATGGGAGTGAATCTAAGAAAAGGTGTGAATTGCATTTATTGAGAATATCACAAAATGTTTTGATGGATAACTGTTCATATTAATGGATAATAAGACAGTATAACAGAGATAACAGTTATCCCTAATTTAAACTACAAAATTAATTTAATTTCAATTAAAATTTTAAAGTTTGTGTGTGTGTGTATATTTGTGAGATTTGATCAGCTGATTCAAAAACTTACTTGGGAAAACAAGGCCAAGAATAGGCAAGACAGTATTAGGAAATGAAGGAAAAGTGTGTGTGTGGAGGAGGGAGCAGCTGGCACTGCAGATGATCAAGACTTATCTTAGGGGCCGGCCCGTGGCAAAGTGGTTAAGTTCACAAGCTCTGCTTGGGCAGCCTGGAGTTTTGCTGGTTTGGATCCTGGGCGTGGACATGGCACCACTCATTAGGGCACGCTGAGGCAGCGTCCCACATAGCACAACCACAAGGACCTACAACTAGAATATACAACTATGTACTGGGGACTTCGGGGAGAAGAAGAAAAATAGAAGATTGGCAACAGATGTTAGCTCGAGTGCCAATCTTTAAAACAAAAATGTCTTATCCTAAAGCTGTGGGAATTAAGGAAATGTGGTGATAGTATGGGAAGTGGCGGATAAGACCAATGAAACTGCATGGAGAGTCCAGAAAAAGACTCGTGCATTATGGGAACTCTTTGTGTGATGGGTGGTACTGTGGATGGAGTAGTCTGCTCACTTAATGGTGCTGCTACAATCGGTTGTTCTAATAGGAAAAATACGCTGCATTGCTACCTGTGAGGAAAGGTCAACACAGCCTTTTTTCCTTCACAATGAGAAAATAATCTTGCGTTGGCCTAGCACCCTCTTTCTCTGGAAACCTGATAAAAGTGGAATGTTGGCTGTGTTACTGGGCAGCGTTGGTTGTGGTAAAAATGACTCCTGGACCAGAAGCGTTATGACAAGGGCGATAAATGTCCGATCAAATGTACAGATGGGGTGAATTTGGGAAGTCCTTGCTGTGATCCCCAGAGGTTAGGTTCATGGGTTGTTACAAGACATACTGGTTCCTGTGTAGCTTGAGCTTCTGAGCCAGGGGGCCTTAGGTACCTGCCCACGTAGCTGACCGCCTTACCCCTGAGCTGACCCTCGAATGCTGTTGGGGCCCAGAGGAGGGCAAGGCTAAGACTGTCCTGGTGACATGTTGTGGCCCCTGCTTATATCCTTCTGCAAAGCTCATCTGGCGCCAGGCGTGGCCTTTTGGATCTTGTGAGTGTCCAGGTGAAAGCAGGAGCGTTGGTGGTGGTTGGACAGAGTGAGCAAGTTACGCTATACACTCAGATTGATTCTAGGTGAGTTAAATCCCCAAATAGTAAAAGCAAAGCTTAACAAATTTTAGAAAAATATGTGAGAATTGTTATTTTTCTTACTCTCTTGGGAAAGAATTTTTTAAATGTATGTTTTATATATTATTCAAAATTGCAGCTAGCTAATCCATTAGAATTCAGTGTATTCTAAAATTCATACTGCTAAAATATAAGTTAACCTTATATTTCAGACAGTGCTTACTCATGTTAGGCTAAAGATATAGTAAATTATATGTTTTGCCTTGTTCAGCAAAATGAATATGCTTGATAGGAGTACTGGGTAGTTGTTTACATCTTTCCATTAACGTGCTTGTTTTTAAAATTGTGTTCGGGTCTTTGTTCTGGAATGACAGCTGTATATATACCCACACGAGGTATTCCAGTTCTCGGAAGTTTCATGGAATTAAGCAAAACACATACACACACACATTAGCCAGAGGGGAAAAGATTAAGTTTTACAAAATCAAGGTCATCAAAAGATACTTTTAAAAGATGAAAAGACAAGACGTAGGCTGTGTCTGGAGATGCTGCCTGAGAAACAGAGAGGCATGAGATGGGGGCCAGACCGCGGAAGGCTGCCTGGCCTGGTGACCTGCTGTTCCTTTTGCTCAGGATGCTTCCCTGTCTCCTTGCTCAGCCGTCCTTTTCTCTCTCAAGTCCTGGCAGCTGTGTCTCAGCATACTCTGTCACCGCATTCATGCTTCTTGCCGGCTGTAATTCCCATGTGCTTGCTGCATATTTTCTCTCTTCTCATGAGAAATGTGTGCTCCACAAGGCTAAGACACACGCCTCTCTTGTTCAGTGTTTCATCTGTAGCACTTAGAACTGTATCTGTACATACTAGGCCCCCAGGAAAGAATTGTCAAATGAATGGATTAATTGAAGCAGAATTGAGGGCTAAGATATCGCTTACTAAATCTTTATTCGACTGTGATTTTTTCCCCTCTAATTGTGTTCAGTTTTGCTTACCAGTGGGCCAAGTGCTGTGGACAAGGCTGCACGTGCAACACAGTGGACGGAAGGTCCTCGGGCAGGACAAAACCTCACGGCCGAGACAGACTAGAATCACCGCATCAGTTATACACGTATTAAAATAACGAATCAATAGCGTGCTAGGAACTTGCTATTCATGGCTCCCTAAAAGTGATAAGCTTTCCTCTGGGTTGCAGTAATAATGTGGTGTTGTTTTTAAAGAAAACTGAAGGTTATTTTTACCAACTTTTGGAAAATAACTTGGGTGATTCAATAAAAATCACTTGTATATGTATCATCCTCTATACTCTGTTTTGACAGATTGGAAAATACTTAATAGGGAGTTACACATTTTGAGTGAGTTTCCAGGAATAGAAATCACACTGTGATTGTGGTTTTAATTCTATTATTAAGACCTGATTGCTCTTCGTAAGCTAGAGAAATCGTATTTCCTTTAAACTCTTATGTTCCTAAAATCATGGCCATAATTTTGTTTTTTTCTTATGCATGTAGGTTTTTGAAAATGAAGCTCGCCCAGAGAAAGTAGGAGTCTCTCTTCAGAATTTCCACCACAGAGATTATGAGGATCTTTTTGAAGACGCTGAAGACAGGTATGACTCCGTGCTGCTTGAGGGAGTGTTGCGTGCGCTCACGTTCAGAGCCAGCCCTCTGAGCGGAGACGGCCAATAACAGCCCTCAAATGTTCAATGAACTGTTCAAGATGCAGCCCTTTGTAGTAAGTACAGCCTGATTTGGCTAGAATTAGGATGTATTTATGATCTCATAAGTATGGTATTAACACAAGAAAAAGATTTTCCTAAAGAATTCAACTTCTCTGTCATGTCAACCATTACCCAGTTCTTTAGCCTTCTGCACGTGTTGGAGCTCTTGGAGAGGGCGGGGTACCTAGATGTGGTAGAGCTCAGTACACAGCGAAATGGTATTAGAAATTATATCTGTTTCCAGAGAGAAACTAATGCCCTAGAAACAGTAGGACTGTTAGCATGGTGAATTCTTGGTTCTATATATGGAAAAATTTAAAGGATCAGGAGAAAAGTAAATTTCCGTTCGAATAATAATAGATCAGCAACTTACATGCTTATAAAATGTTCAACTTTATGATCTACATGAAAAACATATCGAATAAGGAAACATTTTATTGAGCTATATTTCCTTAGATATTTATAAGTAATATTAACCACAGTCCTGGAATAGCACTGAATTATAATGTGTATAGTATAAAACTTGTCTGTACAACTTTCAGAAGTGCATTAAATGAACAGATAATAGTGGCTCAGAGGGCATTTTGAGGTCCTATTCTATGCTAATAGTATAAACTATAGTATAATCAGTAGATACTAATTATATACTAAGCATTGTATACAAATACAAAATATTACATAGTTCTTGCCTTTTAGTTTACAGTTTAATTAAGGAAAGAGACGTTGAAAAACAAATTTAAATACAGTGTAGTAAATATTATTATAGAGTCAAAGTCCACAGACTGTGGGTACAGAAGGCAGAGAGCTGCACGGGGGGAGCTCCTCACCAGCTTCTTTGAAGAAAAGATACTTTGGTTGAATTTCGGGTCTTACATAAATAGAAATCTAGCAGGTGAAAAGGGAGGAAAGAAAATTTCAAGATGCGAGGAGCAGTTTGAGCAAAAGTAAGGAGTTGTGAAAATCCTTATTAATGGTGAGAGGTGTTATGTGTCAGGAGTTGTAGGGTATGTGTGAATTGGAAGGTCAGGGAGCTTGAGAAGATGAGAGGGAACGCTGAAACTATAATGTGGGCCAGGGTGTGAAGGGTCTCAATATATGTGAAACCGAGGAGTATACGTTTTATTGTCTGTGAGGAAGCACAGACGGAGTCTTTTTGTTTTATTCGTGCGTGTCTAGTGACTATCTATCATTATCCATTATCTAGAAGGGAGATTTCTGGTAGCAAGGTAGAAGTTAGCTGGTAGGAAATGGAGAACAACAACATTTATAGTAAGTCAAGAAAAGATGAAAAGGAGAGAGTTAAGAAACCTGAAATTACCCACAGAGACCAAAAAAGGACATTTATTTTGTTAAGGTTGAAGCATAACGTGCATGAAGGAAATTAGTAGAGAGACGAAGAAAAAGTAGGCAGGAGCCAGGTTGCTAACGTCCAAAACGTAAGTGTCCAGTAAGGAGCCTTGTTTCATCCTGAAGTTGGTGGGCAGGTGTAATTAAATTTGAAGTTTAGGGCAAATTTTCTCCAGACATTGGAGATTAGACCCAGAAATCAAATGAGGAGGCTTTGTTAAGTGGGGTTGCAATTGAAAGTGCGACAGGAGCTGAGCAGATCATATCAATGAGGGCGTGGAGTACTGAGAGGTTGCAAAAGAAACAAAGCAAGTGTGGGCCACTATTTTAAAAATCTGTTGGAGTTAGAACAGTAGTTAGATGAAGACAGAAAGTTTAAAGTGTTTTCTATTTTGAAGAGGAGAGAGAATCGAGTCTTCTTGTAAAGTGGAAGAGTTTGTAGATAGGAGGAGATTAATTCTACATATGTAAGAAAAGAGCACTTTAGAAAAATGTCTCAGAGGAGACAGGAGGCGTGGAGTTGAGAATGTAGAGGGATTAATTCGGAACCGGGAGAAAGCTAGGAGTAGTGAAGAAGGCTGATGCATCTAAGAATACACTGTAAAAGAGGAAGCTGAAGTTCCTGCTTTCTGGCTGCATTTTTCCAGAAGGGCCTATGTTGTTACCAGGGCAGAGAGTTAAGGTGGGGACTGCGTGAGGGTGCTGGTTCAGAACTGGCTGCAGTGGAGGAATGGGTTTAGGCAAAGCCAACAGGTACCTGCCCGTGTTTTCCAAATGCCTCTCTGCTGTTGCCAGAAACCCCAGTGCCCCCTGTGCCTTTCTCCCACAGCCGAGGCAAAGGAGGGAAGAGGAGGGTAGGTGGATTCATTCAAGGTGGCCAGTTTGCAGGGCAGGTGAAAGTGGGAGGCAGTTGTGAGCAGACATTGGGACTTTGGAATTCTCTCTTTGGAAGTGGACCAGTTCCAGGTGTTGACAATGGAAGTGGGTGGCTGAACTGAAATGGAGGCGAATGTCAATTGAATAATTAGTCTAGATTCTCAGGGATCCTTTCTTGAATGTATACATGCTCTGAAACCAGGAACCAATGTAGCCATTTCTTTTCTAGTGAGAGTGAACGCATCATGTGGTCAACCAGTAGCTCTTTCCTGCGGGACAGGTTGAGCAGTGAGGAAGAGCTGGTGGGCCCGTCCCAGCCTGCCTCCACTCGGCTTCACGGTAGGGCTTGGCTCTGGGCTACGAGCACACTCTGGGAAAGGCCATCCTTCAGAGGGAGCAGAAGGGAATTTCTAACACAGATGCAGGCGAGAGCTCGGAGGAACTTTGTAAAGTGGGGAAAACATGGTTTCCTAGGATTTTCTTTTGAAAATGAAGAATATGCTCCACACCCCACTTGCATAAGGGCAAATTTCTACCCTTTCTTTAAATATTTTACTATATCAAACATGCCAATTTAATAAAATGGCATGTTTATTTTTTTAAACTAGGGATTATAGGTTTGTATAGACTTAAATATGACCTGCTTCCTCATTTCCTTAATTTTAATTTGTTGCGCAGTATATTCTTTCTAAGTTAAAGAATAACTTTTTTGGGGTTACACGTAATCACAGGTTGTGGGAAAAAGGAAAATACAAATATGTATAATAAAATAAATAATACTGAAGAATGTTCTAAATTTTTTCTATGTATATGTATTTACATTTGTATATAATGTAAATATAACCATGAATATGTATGTATATGTATAATTTGGGTGTGTGAGTTTGGGGGATCACATACCTCAAGACCTTGGAGCTAGAGAGGACCTTAGAGATCCCCCATTTCAACCTGTCACGTGCCAGAATCATCTTCTCTAGGGACTTTTTTTAATTTGAAAAATGTCAAATCTAATTAAGGCAATATCACCCTGTGAAATATTAAAATACAGGTCTCACACAGAAAGAGTTTACAAGAAAATTACTCTTAAAATATTGAAGTATATCTTACATATGGTAAAGTTCACCCTTTCTAGCTACAGTTCTGTGAGGTTAGACCAAGGACTTCCAGTGCCATCCGGATGCACTGCGTCTCCTTCACCCCTCCGCTATCTCTGTGCTCTTTTGCAGTCAACTTCTAACCCCTCCACCAGCACCTGCCAACCCATACCATTTCTGTTCTCTCTACTTTTGTCTTTTCCAAGGTGTCTTATAATGGGAGCATAAATTTGTTCCCTTTTGAGTCCAGCTTCTTTCACTTAGTGTAGTGCTGTTGGCATTCATCCACACCATTCTGTTTATCAGTATTTAATCTTGTTTGCCAAACAGTATTCCATTGTGTGGCTACACCAGTTTGTTTCTTCATTCACCAGCTGAGGGACATTCAGACTGTTTCCAGATTTGGGCAGTTATGGATAAAAGCACTGCAAACATTCACATCCTGGTTTTGTATAAACCTAAGTTTCCATTTCTTTAAGGTGAATATGTAGGAGTGGGAGTCATAAGTCGTAAGTGTATTTCTGACTCATAAGTATGTCACTGTCAAACCGTTATCCAAACACGCTATAACAATAGGCTTTTTACTTTTTTCCCTCATAGCCCCTTTTTCTCTTTGTGTTTCAGTTAAGGTAATTTTTATCAACCCGTCTTCACTGATTGACTCTTCCCTGGGCTGTGTTGCGTCTACTAATAGACCATTGAAAGCATTCTGTAGCTCTTTACAGTGTTTTTATTGTTAACGCATCCATTTGACGTTATCTTATGGTTTCTGTCTCCGTTCAAATTCCTCAGCTGTTCATGCATTTTTGTTCACCTTTTACACAAGAGCTTGAACATATTAATCATAGTTATTTAAAATTCCCTCTCTGATAAATCTAACAGATGGGTAATTTCTGAGTTTTTTCTGTTGATTGCTTTGTTTTTTGACAGTGATTTTTGTTGTCGCTGCTGCTGCTTCTTTGTGTGTCTTGTAAGTTTTGATAGAGTGTTGGTGTCGGGCATAGAAAAGTAGAGATTGAGGTAAATAGAATTTATGCCTGGAAATAGTCATACCTGTTCCTCTGCTAGGCCATTGGTATTGGTTCTTGATTTAGCATGATTAGGACGTGAGTTGGATTTTGGTTTTGTGTCACTGTCATTACCTACGGTGACCCATTGACTTATAATCCCTCAAGATTTAGCTTGTGCTTAGGGTGGCAGCTGGAGCGCTAGAGAGTTTCTCTTAACATCCCAGTTCTGTCCTTGGCTTTAGCCTTCCCCCTGTGCCCATGCTTTAGAAGGGGTCTTCTCCACACTCGTGCCTTCTCCAGCAGGAGACTGGAGCTTGCCAGCCTGGAGAGGAGAGCAGGGCAGCTCTCTGTTGTCCTGACCCAGTCTCAGCCTCAGGCAGGTCCTCTGTCCCTGGTTCCTGTGATGCTGCCCTCCTCTCTGGCCTCCTCACTCTGCCTTCTATTTGCAGCAGGTCTACTGTGGGAGAGGGTTCCTGTCCCTCACCTAGAGGTAGGAGACTCAGAATAGGATTGGTAAGGATCCTGAGCTCACTGTTTCCTGCCCCTCCTCCAGGAGTAGAGGATTTTTCTGTTGCCCTTTTCCTGACTGACGTGGGTCTTCACCTGTGCACAGCAAGCTCGGCTGCTATTCCCCTGCAGTTAGACTTCTGTTCCATGCCAGAGGTGGGTCCAAGTGGGGCTTCGTGCACTCACCACAGGGGCAGTGGCTCTCTGCTCCGCGCCCACACCACTGAAGGGAGGATTCCTTCCATTTCCCACCCTGTCTCCAGTCCTCCTTCTGAGCACTTGCTCCAGGTCTGTTAAGTCTGCGAGGGGTGTATACTCTCTTTGCATCTGTGGCTTCCTGAGGAGCTATACTTTCACACTAGCCCCCCTTCAGCCTTCAGCAATATATTCAGCTTTTCATCGGAATACTGCTTTCTCACTTGTATAGTGTCTGACATCTTTCTCCCACCAGCTGCCATGAGTGAGCCAGTGTTCGTGACCTGTCTCTCCTTAGAGGAGCCTGTCTTTCCTTAGTTTTCAGACTGCTTGCTTGCCCTGCAACCAGAGCTCTCTGATGGGTTTGAAAATTTTATTTTGTTTTTTTTTTTACTTCTATATGCTGTTAGTGTATGAGTAGTGCTCATACAAACTTTCTACATTTTAGGCAGAAGTGGAATTTTGAATGTAAATGTATTTTTAGAATAAAAACAAGAGCATATTCATTTGTAAATATATCTTTTTAGTAAGCATATATTTACACTACAGTTTTTAGAAGCCAAATAATATTCCATGGTATGACTGCACAATTATCTATATAGTCAGTCTCTTCTTGTTGTTCACCTTGGGTAGTTCTTGTTAAAATATTATTATATTGTACGCTGATGTGATAAACGTCCGTGGAACTAAGTCTTTGGGCGTGTTCTTAGATTGAGTTGAAAGAAAGAAGGAAAGCTTTATTGAAGCTGCTACTGCTGTAGCAGCAGCAGGAAGCCCGTGGTCTCAGATCAGTGCCAGCCAAGCAAGTGGTTTTGAGGGGTTTTAAAGGAAAAGAGGTGACATTCTGAGTGACAGAAGAACAAGAAACTTGCGGTTGGTATATCTAGGGTTATTCTTTTGAGTTCTATCTGTGTTTAGGTATGAGAACTAGATGGTTTTGTGTGGCTTTGTATGGTCCCCTAGTGACAACTAGTGTTGGTGGCAAATGACATTTGCTTCTGTACATCAGGAGCACGCAGTGGCCCAGCTCTTAGAAGCAAGGCCTGGTCTCGGGGGAAGCAGACAGCAGCTGCTCTTCTTTCGCAGCTCCCTGCTTTTCATTTTCCTTTAGGGTGATGGTTGGGCTCCTCTGGGGTCTGTTACTGAGATCTGCATTAACAGAGGATTAATGACCAGAAAATAGAAAGAACTGCAAATTAATAAGTAAAAGACAAACAACTCAAGAGAAAACTGGGCAGAAATGTTGCTGTGGACTGTGCTTTTCTGCCACCCCAAAATCCGTACACGGAAATCCTAATCCCCAAAGTGGTGGCATTTGGAGACAGGGCCTTTGGGAGGTGACTGAGTTTGAATGAGGTCATGGGGGTGGAGCCTTCCTAACGCAAGTAAGTGGTGCCCTTATGAGAGGGCGAGGGGAGCAGAGCTTGCTCCCTCCACCATGTGGGGATGTAGCAAGAAAGCGGCCATCTATAGATCAGGGAGAGGCTTCTCACCAGGAGCCCGGCCGTGCTGATACCCTGATCTCTGACTTCTAGGCTCCAGAGCTGTGAGAAATGTGTCTGTTCGTGAAGCCCCCAGTCTGTGGTGTCTGTTACAGCAGCGTGACTAAGACAGAAATTAGTGCTGAGAAGTGGGTGCGGCGGCGACAGACGCCTGAGCCTGTGGGAGCAGCGGTGGAGCTGGGTGATGGGGAGAGGCTGGGAGAGTTTTGAGGCGCATGCTGGAAAAAGCTGATATTGTCGTGCAGAGACTTTTAAGGTGATTCTGGTGAGAGCTCAAAAAGAGAAAGAGGAAAGCTGTGGAGAAAGCGTCCATCTTCTTAGAGAAGAGGTGAGTAATCATGTTAAGAATGTTGACAGAAATAGGGCTGATGAAGTCTCAGATGGAAGTGGGGAACGTGTTATACGGCAGTGGAGAAAGCTGGTCCTTACTATAAGGTGACAGAGGCCTTGGCTGAATCGTGCTTGTCTTCTAGTGTCTGTGGAAGACAGAACTTGTGAGGGAATTTCTGGCAAATTGAATCAGTGGCTTGGTTCCCCCAGCTGTTTATAGTAAAATGTGAAAAGAGAGAAATGAATTGAAGATGGAATTGTTAAGCAAAAAGGAACCAGAACTTAAAGATTTGGAAAATTCTCAGCTGATCCATATTGCAAGAAAAGAGAACTTGAGAAGTGTGGCCTGTTTGATAGGGGTATTAGTATGGGTATGAGCCAGGGACCTGATCAGCCATCTCAACAGGAAGCCAGGCGCTATTCTTCAAGGGCCAGAAAGAATGACTGCCAGGGTGAATCAGAGACCATTGGGGCTGCCACTCCCACCTCAGGCCCAGAGTGTACTGTTGTGGGGTGTGGGTGCAGCGGGGCTGCCCAGAGCCATGGTGGCAGGACCAACACCACTGCCCAGCAGAGCTACGGAGGTGGGACTGCTGCCCCAGGGAGTCCTAGGGACGGGCCTCTGCCCTAGTGAGACTGGAGGGCAGAGAATCGAGTCAAAGAGGGTTGTTCTTGAGTCCTAAGGTTTGATGGAGTTTGCC